ATCCCCTTCACTTCCACTCCCAGCTCGCAGCCGCCTGCCCAGCCCTGGGGCTCGATGCTGCCAGACAAACCCTGTGGCTTCATGGTAGAAAAGAGTTCCATGGGGGCTGTGCTGACTTGTCTTGCTGGGACCTGTGAGGAGGGAGCGGTTGGGGACATTGGCGTGGGGCTGGTGGGAAGCTGGGACTGGCTTCGTGTGCCTGCCAGGCTGATGGGTCTGACCTCCCGCAGCCCCCAGCTGCTCCCACCAGCCGCAACTACGCTGAGATCCGGGAGAAGCTGCGCTCGCGCCTCACCAAGAGGAAAGAGGAGCTGCCACAGAAACTGGGGCACAACAGCAGCTCGGGAGAGCCTGCTGTGGACCACCGCAATGTGGATGAGCTACTGGACTACATCAACAGCACAGAGCCCAAGCCCTTGAACAGTGCCAAGGCAGCCAAGCGCGCACGGCACAAGCAGAAGAAGAAGGTGAGGATGGGCAGGGGGAAGCATTGCCTGGACAGGCTGCAGGAAGGAGATCAGAGCAAGACTGCCCTTGACAGGGCTTTGTCTTCTCTCTCTCACATCTGTTGTTTTGATCTCCATCTCCTTTGCTGCTATCTCCCCTGAGGTGTTTGGTTCTGTGCAGGGTTTCCCCTTCCCCTGCCTCTGATGCTGCAGAGGCTGGCTCAGCCCTCCTGGGTGCTTTGGATTGTGCTGTCCTACCTGCTGTATGCCACATCTCTGACAAACACTGTGCATCTGTGGTGGGGAGAGGCATATCTGTGCCGTGATCACTCATGCCCAGAACAATGTCCAGTGTGCAGTGTGGCAGCTGTTGCACTGCAGAGGACACGTGGCAGTTTGGGGGCTGTGGAAGATGGGAGGGGTGGCCATGCTGAGCACTCTCCCTTGGGTGTGCTGTCTGACAATGGCTAGCCCTGTGGTCCAGGCCACCTGATCCTCACGGCACCCATGTTGCAGGAGAAGGAGAAAGCCCAGCTGGAGGCGGAGGCCCAGAAGCGGGCGGAGCGCGTCCCTGCAGCCAGCCAGGCCAGGGAGCCAG